GCCTGTATAATGTGCAGCGTGACCAACGCTTCACATTTATCAATACCTAGGTTTTCGATTGATGAGCATAATAGTTTTGAGAGTTTTCAGAACTTCGTCCAGTTCGAATCCTGTTCTCTGAACCTGGTTACATTCGCAGTCATAACACTCCCATTTCCTGTGTTTTTCAGACAGACAATAAAATGATGACTTCCATAGAGGTTATGAATTACAGCCCACTCAGTGCATGCCAACAGTGAAGGAGATGCGATAGCAAGATCTATCAATTTGTATGAGCTTTGCACTGCGTTAAAGTATGTTCACTCTTTTATATTAAATATACAGGAGCCGGAAGACAACAAAAAGTTTTCAATTAGGAAGACTCGAGAATACGTTCTTGTACATCCCCATAAAGGGTGGTGCGCGTTAAAATATCCAACCAACAGAAATGTATGTGGAAGCTGGTCGATGAGTGTTTCAACTTCTTTAGTGGGCAGTTGGTAGTACGGAGGGATGTATAGTGAACACACAGCTGTTATTCGTCCAAAAATTAGAGCTCGTATTGCGACTGCTTCTAAGTCAGTAACCAGAGTGAAGCTTTGAGACAGAACTGCTTTATGGACCACAATAGCGACACCGCCAGATGAATGGGCAGTGCCTTGTCTGTCCTTTTGGTATACCACATATCTTTTAAAAGGGTAGTATTTGTGGGTTTTAGGTGTATTTCCTGTAAGCAAAGTATGTTTGGTTGGTGTTGTGCAAGTGTTTCATCGATGTCGTCTAAGTTCTTAAGTAGACCTCGGCAATTCCTGTGCATTATACTTTCAGCAGCCATTTTAAGATAGAGGAAAAGAGCGCTACTTATTCACACTTTGCTGCCTTTATGAGGCGGCTTCACTGGAGGTTGTCTCTTCCCTCCTAGGTGATCTATGGATCCTCGCCTCACTTGGGGGGTTCTGTCAGCATCTTAGATGCTGAGGATCCTGGTGTCACTTCCATTGCCTCCGGTGGACCCTCGGAAGGTAATGGAGGTTTGTCAGAGGAGACAGGAATCTCATTTGTCTTTGCGGTCCCTGGGGTCTGATGAAGTTCGACCTCCGGGGCGTGAAAAATTGGTGCAGCCGGTGGCTGCTTGGTGAGGAGGGGGGGGGGGCAGACATGTGCACGCATAAGCAAAGCTGTATAGCGTGCCCACCGTCACTAGACGCCGCCCGGCTCCCCGACAGGCTGCATCAGCATATGATCTTCTGGAAAAAATGAAATACCTTCTTCCGGGCTGCCGAGAATGTGATATTTTCTGTAACCTAGTGTGAATTACAGCCTTTTCTTTCTTGAACGCTTCACATGTGCGCGAGTACGCGGCATGCGGCCCGTGACAATTAGGACATTCTGTTTGGTTTGAAGTGCAGTTCTCGGTTGGGTGCTCATGGTCACCACATTTCGCACATGTTAGTTTTCCACGGCAGGTGTTTGATCCATGTCCGTATTTCTGGCACTTGAAGCACCTTCTGGGGCTAGGTATATAAGGACGGACTTTACAATAAAGGAATGCCACTTTCCCAAATTCGGGCAGGATGGAGCGGTTAAAGGTTAATACTATATGCGGGGTTACCACTTCTTCACCTTTCCGTGTGGCTGATTCAACGTACGGCAATTACGCCCTACTCTCGAAAGCCCTCAACGAGTTCAGTTTCCATTTCTCGCATGAGATCGCGTTCTGAAATGACACCTTGGATAGTGGTAAGACTGTGGTGAAAGGGGGAGGGGGTGACAGACACGTTCATGTCTAAACTGCTTTTGTTTCAGGAGAGTGTTTGAGATGTCTTTTTTCGTCACTTCAACAAGATCACAGGATGACAGCTTTTTTGCATCATAATTTTGCCTATTAGGTTTTCAAGAGTTCTGGCTATCAGAAAGACCGACAATGCTGCAACAGACTCATTGTCTGTAAGAGAGTGCATGACCAAAAAGTGTGGAAAGTGGTCACAATCAGTTCGGGTGCGTTTGGAGCTTTCATCGATGTGGTTCCTTTTTAGAGACTGATCATTCAAAAGGGAAAAGGTTTTGCCATGAGAAGCATTTGAAGTTCGGCGGCGATGGTAAACACCCACCACCGAGCCCAACAAGCAGACGCTACAAGGTAGAACACTTGAAGGCGCCAGTCTTACATCACTGCTATAACCAAATATAGTTACCCAAAGTTGGGCACCGACACAGTATCAACCCTCGCCGCCAGGAAAAAGTGGAAGTTGATGAAAGATAGAAGGTTACAGGACAGATAAAAAGTGAGAGGTAAAAACGAAGACGAGGTTAGAGAGAGAGAGGAAAAGGCGACTGCCGATTTGCCCTGGGTGAGTCAGCCCAGGGGTGCCATATACCTGAAGCCGGGGCCAAAGGGGTGTGTTGCCTCTGCCGGGGGGCCTTAAAAGTCCTATCACCCGGCGTCCGCTCAACCCCCAAAATTCCCTATTCCTCGGACACGGCTCAGCCAAGCACAGCTAGGCGTGAGAGAGGTCGAAACCCCCGTTAGCTCGAGTCCGTGGTGTCGCTACACACCAAACGCCTGCTTTCACAGCCGCCCCTGCGGGGTAAAATATGTATATGTTGTTGCGCGCCGTACTGCATTCCTTTTAATAAACTAATCAAATGAGTACCGTGGCAGATCTGCAGAAATACACGTGTAGCTCTGTCGATGCATAGTTAAGTACGGAACTTGACAGTCACTTAGGTTGGTCAATGCATGCAGCCAATGCAACATTATCAACTTGGAGGAGCACCTTTTTATTTGCCTGCGCGAGCCAGCTGAAAGCGTAAGGTAAAGTTCATATCTACGGCACGAAAAGTATTAATGATTGCTACCACAGAGCGCATTTTATGGTGTTTATTGCTCCTCATACGTTGTCTTGCATTTCTCACTGCTGTGGAGCCCGATGCCACTGAATATGTCTGCTATGCACTCAATTTATACTTACTCATAAGAAAGCAGTTAGTTATGCAAGGTGCATACTGTATGTAGCACTCTTCGTGAAAATTCGGTTATTGTTCTTGTGTATTTATTTTAGGTTTCCGGGATCGAATTTCTGTACAGAAAGAACAGCTTCGCCACTACTTCTCTTGAAGGCACCAGTCGTCTCAGCAGCTGAAGATGATTGTGCTAGCAGCAGTGACGAGCTGTGGTTTTGCAGTTAGAAGTATACCAACACTGACATTACATTATTACAAACCCACTTACACTACCTTGTCGAATGTTGTCATTTTATAATGTAAAATTTATGCTGCAGAGATATATTAGTTTCTACATGTGACTCCAGAAACTCGCTTACTCTTTTACGTGTTTTTTCTATTGTATAGGTGTCCTTCACTGCCATACCTTTCAGTAGTTTGCCCGACTATCAAAAATGTTTTTGAAAGTTGTGGGGATTTATTGTATTGAAAACCATAAATTTCTAGTGTAGAGAGAAAAAGCTTGGTCACGTGAGATATTTCAAAATTTTGCAGAATGTTGTAAGAGTCCTCTTTGTCAGACTTGAACTTTTTCTATAATAAAGGCAGATGTGAACTTACAGGCTTAATTGTTTTTTGCTTTGGCGTTATGTTTGGTTTAACCTTACGCTACAGGTTACTGCTTGCACTACTGTGGTGTGGTTCGTGTGTGTGTGCGTGTGTATGTGTGCGTAAGCGCCTGCAACGTCCTACTTGTCGTTTTCGGCCAAGTCTTCCTGCACATATATACTCTGGTGTTATGCAGCTCATTCGAGACCACGGCACCTTATTTTATCAGCTGCATGCATGCACGTGTAAGTGCAGTGTGTGACACCAGTATCTTCCTTCTTTGTCAGCCGCAGGAAAGGTTCATATATGCTTCTCCCTGAGAATAGTTGAGGCTTGGGCCAGTTGATGCATATTTGATGGAATTAAGTGCTATGAATGGCTCTCCTGAACACACAAGACTAAGCGTCACCTCCTGTGTCTCTGCTGTTGTTGTGCCGGTGATTGCGCTTCATTTGACCAAGTATGCTTATCCATACAACTGCCATCGTTTCAAGGGGACTTTTAGTGTTTCACCCCACTCGCATGGGTGTAGCTTCATCCAACACCCATGGTTTAGGGGTGTTCATAAACACCTTTTAAAATAGGGTGTAATGTTTTTTACACCCTACGTTTTCAGCGTGTTTCTAAACACCTTATTGTTTAGGCTGTTCCTACACACCCTAGAGGGTGTTACCCTAAGAACAAAAATACACCCTTATGGGTGTAAAAGTTTTTGCAGTGTACCTTAGCCACTAGACCACCACGGCGGCGCGCCAATAGATTGTTGGCTGACCTGCCTTACAGTATTTAACAGGGAACTTTTTACGCCTGCACCTTTTTCTCTCAAGCTTTTAACACTAAGATCATGCGGCGGAGACGAAGGCGGAGTTTGGCGCCATAGTCGCATCAAAAACAAAATCTCGGGATGACAAAAATTGCGGCATTCGCACGGCCCTTTAGCAAAATACGAAAAGTATGTGCTCGTACGCATCAATAAGACGAAAGCTAGAACTGCAGTAGATGTTTTGCATTCTCTTTTAAGCAAGTGCCAAACGTAGACGAAGAGCGCGCCGTGAGGACCTACCAACATCAGGAGCAGGCCATAGGAAGCACGGTTCAAATCTGGACCACGCAACGTATAAGTACGTCTTAGTGCTCCTGATGGCCAAGTAACGTCACTCATACTGGTGTCAGGGCAGTATGATGACGTGATCCAGTGGCATCATCACGAGATCATAATTATTTCATGCATTACTCGTGTTGACGCCAATGACATGGGGAGCCAACGGTCAGTTTTAACGTTTGAAAAAATCTAAGACTTTGGCAATAAAATGAAGCACAGGTATCATGCCTTTGTTTTGTAGAAATTCTCATCTATACAGTGAAAAATGTTTTAAACGGTACGCAACTTGCGTACAATAATGAAATCAAAAGTGGCAATAAAGGTGTCACATGCCAAATTATCTGGCGTGAAGACAGAACTAGTGCACTTAGGTTTTTCATTTAGTTTATTTCAGCATAGTTCTCCTTTAAATGACATGCAACAGTTTTTAAAAGCACTGAAGAGAGATTTGTTTGCAGACGACACATCAACTTGTCCTTTGCCTCGCTCGTCAGCCGCCTTTCCTACAAGTAGCAGGCCATGTCAGCACCTTGAAGTTATGAATGCGAAGACACAGCATGAGAAAGGTAAGCTTTAGTGTAGCATATATTCTACGGGTTACCCTTCTATGATAGCACAAGTTCATTGTGAAGAAGGGGTGTACGAAAATCACATGAAGTTTTTTTTCTTTTCTTTGCAAGACAAGTACCGAAGCATAGTGGCTAAAATCAGACACATCATTTTTCGTTTATAATATTCTGTGTAACACCAAAATACGTCAACAGAAAATCAGGAGCCTATTTAGACTCACTCCAAAACTATAGTTTGCCATGGGGGATCACTTGGACTCAGACTAACCAAAATTTCTTCAGCTGTACTCACTCGCGCTCAGACTTGCTAAACCTTTTTCTCAACCGTCCTTAATCGGACTCAAACTCGAACATATCGCTCAACCGGATCCACACAAGACTAGGGAATTGACCCGAGTCTGAGCGAGTGGAATCATGAGTCAACGTAAAATTAGTTTTTTCATTTTGTAATGTAGATGGTCTTTACGTCAATGTCTTATATATAATTGCTCCTTTGTTATACGTCTTCTGATCTTGTATCTTTAAATCCGAGTTATCAGTGGTTTTACTCTATAAATACCTTTCTGATAAAATAAGCCAATAAAATTAGGTGTTCTTACACAATCAATTCCCGTAAAAGGGCTTGTTGGGAAGGTCACTGCACCCCCTATCACTCACGCTTCTGATCAATAAGTACTTAGGTGGCACATTGATTGATTGATATGTGGGGTTTAACGTCCCAAAACCACCATATGATTATGAGAGACGCCGTAGTGGAGGGCTCCGGAAATTTGACCACCTGGGGTTCTTTAACGTGCACCCAAATCTGAGCACATTGGCCTACAACATTTCCGCCTCCATCCGAAATGCAGCCGCCGCAGCCGGGATTTGAACCCGCGACCGGCGGGTCAGACTTAGGTGGCACATGAATGCTTTTGCGTTCAGTAGTGTGCGAATAAACTTGCATGTATATGCAAGCTGATTTTGAGTATGAAATCAATGTCAAAAGTCGGAAAATAGGACCAAAAGTTAGCAGTAGAAGATGGAGCTCGCTCAGAGTGACTAAATCATATTCCATGATCATAATTGGGCTTACTTGGATTCGGACTCGCCAAGTTATTCCTCAGCCTGACCCATAAGGACTCAAGCCTCAGGTTCAACAAAATTTTCTTTCACGAATGTCTTTCTCGTTTATTTTACCCGTTTAGGATCCGATGGTCTGGCGCCATCATCCGCGTGTTCAACGGTGTTCACGTCTTCAAATGATACAGCTGAAGTCACCAACACGTGCAGTGCAACAAGGTTGCGGCTCCTGATTTGCTGTAGTTTTGTTGATCGTATTGAATGCACTATATTGCTTTTGGCTTCTCGTGAACATTGTTGCCAATTTTTAGTGAAAAACGAGTGGCTTCAACAAGAGTGTGCTATGCTGTCAATCTCTCATCTTAGAGTTCATGCGCTGTGAATAAATACATCGTGGATATGTGAGTTTCAAGTCAAGCCCTATGAGTGAATAAAAAGATCGTGTAAGTAGAGACCAAATCTCAGAGGCTGTGTTTTGGCACGCTGTATGCTTCGGAAACGACTGGAGTATCGTCTTCACCGTGCCTCATCGTTATACAAATTTCACCGCCCCTGAAAATTTTCTGAATTATCGCCAAGATTATCTTTTTTTCTTCTAAAGTGACTGCCGAAATTTCTCTGAAAAGGGGAAAATTCCCTGCAGAGAACAACAGTGCTCATCAGTGACGTCAACCTCCACCGTCTTCCACCTTGCAATATTTAATGACGGGAAGCTGCATAGAGCTACCTTCCAAGGCTCCGCAAAAGAGGAACACAACTGCGTATTATAGGAAAGTCCCAAGAACACCCTCGTGCGATGAGCTCCCGCAGCCAGCTACACCTTTATCTAATGTATTCCATGACTCCACGAACTAGAGTAACTGTGTATGTTTCCTAAAGGTAGCATATACACTTATTCTACCTTGGATGAATGGATGTATGCGGCTGTGCCCTTTAGATCAAGCAGTGGCTCACGCCACCTAGCCATAAAATTAAGTACTATCACTGTTTGTTTAAGGATTGAATTTCACTCACGCCTCGATTGCAGCCACCAATCAGTTAGCCTCCTCCTGGTTATTTCTACCCGTTTAAGCCTATTAAAAGGCAGTTGCGTGCACGGCACTCCCAAAGCATGACCTCAAATACGCTCGTCGTTGCTTGTTTACAGATTCCGATTATCATTTCTGCAAGCAGCACGACTTTGCCAAGTGTGGTTTACTCCGTCAAACATCTTTCAACAAGCGGACGCATTCATGCGGTTCCCCTGGAGCCAGCAGCCTACGTCATCGACGAGCCATGCTGTGACTACGTGGCCCAATCAAAGATGGATGTGCACGCCCCTCAACCATATATAAGGAACACCTCAGATCCACATGGACTCAGTTGCGGGCACGGCACTCACCAGAGCATGACCTCAAATACGCTCGTCTTAGCTTGTTTACAGGTGAGGCGGTGCTTTTCATGTTTTCGAAGCAATGAACTATTTCTTATAGTCGTGCCGTGCCCCGTGCCGTGGTCGTGCCGTGGTCTGTGTTGCTGAAGTTGGCTAGGAGCGGTGATATTGAGACAAACCCCGGTCCCGCTGTACTTGAAGAAAAAATTGAACAAATTTTACAAACATTGAAAGAACAGACAAAGACACTTGCTGATATAAAACGTGATCAACGTGCGCTTCAGAAGTAAGTAAAAGATAACGGCAGCGTCATAAAAAATTTGAAGAACGACTGTCTATGATTGAGTCGTCCCTTCCAAAATTGACCGAAACTAAAGAAGCGGTTTCTGTTTTAACTGATCATGTGGTTGTGCTTTCCCGGAGGGTCGACGATCTGCAAAATTGGCAACGAAGAAATAACTTGATCGTCTATGGTCTTCCTGAGAGAGCGAATGAATCAGCCGATGAACTGTTTGAAACTCTAAACCAAAGGCTTTTTTCTGTAATAGGTGTAAGTCCGTGTAGTGTAGAACGCATACATCGACTTGTAAAAAGGCGAGACCATTCCAGGCCTGTAATATTTCGCTTATACAACTCCAAAGAAAAGAGCGATATCTTGATGAAGTGTTCAAAATTGAAAGTAACAGGTGTTTTGGTGCGTGAAGACTTTTCAAAACGCGTACTTTATTGTCTCAAGCGTCTTTGGGAGAGTGCAAAAGAAGAAAAACGAAGCAGTGCGTGCGTGCTCCTTGTTCATGACAAACTGTACGTGAACAGGGATGCATATTTCTGGGACGAAAACACCGTTTCACGGAAGCCATGCTTAGTTGCTGATAATCTTCAAACCACATGAAATTCCAGGAACGTGGGCACTACTTCTGATGCAGTGACGGTTATTAATCTGAACGCGCGCAGCGTCTTGAATAAAACTTCAGCCGTTGAAAGTGTTTTGCTCGAGTATGAACTAGATGTACTCATTGTTACTCAGACTTGGTTGAATGAATGCATTGAAAACTGCGAGTTTCTTCCTCCAAACGATATAGCTTATCGTAGAGATCGCGGATCCAGGGGTGGTGGTGTTGCGATTATCTGTAAAAGATCAACTGAGTACACAAAACGCTCTTCGGCACCTGCAGGTGACATGAATTTATACGGCAGTTCGCTCACATTCATTGCAGTGTATCGTCCTCCCGATTCGTCGGAAGACTACATGCTGGCTTTCAATGACTTCTTACATAGCGAATTTCAGAATTAAAAAGAAAAACTGTAATGGCCGGTGATTTTATTCTTCCGCATATTAACTGGGTGGAGTATAAAGCGGGTCAGGTTGATGTATTACCATCCCGAGCTCTCCTAGATGGGGTGTTCTCGCTTGATATGGTTCAAGTTGTACAGAAGTGCACACGAGTACACGAAAAGGGTGGCTCTTTACTTGATCTTGTATTTTTGAGTCCATCACTGGCTGAACAAAAGTACACTTGTGAAGCGATGGACGGTATTTCAGATCACAGAATGGTGATTCTTCAGCTATTGGGCATGCGTCATGAAGTGCAAGCGAAAAAGTCTGTACTGGTGCCCAATTACTCTAGAGCGGATGATGTTTCTATTCTGGACTTTTTTGACATTGATTATGAAGATTTTAGGCGCATTGCTGTATGTGATAGTTCAACGGTTGATCATGTGTGGTAAAGGTTTAAAGAAACTGTACACACACTAATAAAACGTTACATACCTGACTAAAAAGAAAGATTCAAAGAATGAATCTATAGGTTTCGCGAAACATTATTCACGTGAAACGACAACTAAGTCGCATGCGGGCAAATTGAAAAAGTAGTAAACAAAATCTCAGATCGGCTGACGTCACGACGCTTTTTTTTTCGTTCAGAGCTGAGCTGGCTGACGCAAAGAAGCGATACATGAATGAATCTTTAACGCAGTTTATTAAAACAGCACCGCAGAAATTTTGGCGATATTTATCGAAAGAAACATCGACTACTGTGTATTTAAATAAAGAAACCGGCACTGTTACCGATAGTTTTCAGTTAGTCTGTACTTTTAATGATTATTTCAAATCGGTTTTTACAAACGATGACGGTATACTGCCGGAATGCAGCCTAAGTTGTCCTGCCTCGCCAATCCCTGACATTGTCGTTACACAGGAAGGCATTTGTAACCTTCTTCTGAACCTTGATTGAAAGAAATCAACTGGCTTAGATGGTATTCCGAATGTCTTTTTGAAAAGGTATGCTGAATGGTGCTCTTATTATCTCACTGATATAGTTAACAAATCTTTGCGTGACGGACAGGTTCGTAATGACTGGAAATGTGCTAAGGTCATACCGATTTCTAAAAGAGGTGCTAAAGACTGTGTAAACAACTACAGGCCTGTGTCTTTGACAAGCACGTGCTGTAAAACACTGGAGCATGTACTTACTAAGCACTTAACAAAATTGCTCGAAGAGCACAAACTAATGGCAGATCAACAACATGGTTTCAGGCGAGGTTTCTTCACAGTGACAATTCTCACCGAGGTTTCACATTTCATTAGTCAAATCTTAGATGACAGAGGGCAAGTTGACATTATTTTTCTTGATTTCAGAAAGGCATTCGACAAAATACCACATTCAAAATTACTGCATAAACTTAGCACGATCCTGCAGAACGATGAGCTCATAAATTGGATAGCAGCTTATTTGATAAACAGAGAGCAAGTGGTTTGCATTAGGGGCACAAACAGCCGGTAGGTTCAGGAGTTCCGCAGGGCTCTGTCATAGGGCCACTGCTGTTCTTACTATATATAATTTATATGAACAGCGGCTTCTCGCCCGATGTTTTCATTAAGCACTATGCTGATGACACAGTCATCTATTCAAAGGCAGAATCGAACTACGACCAGGAAAAGCTTGATGAACATCTGGGCATGATAGGCTTTTGGTGCAAAAAAATGGCAAATGGTGTTGAACCCAAGCAGAACAATTTTTATGCCGATTACAAGAAAAACCAAGCCTCTCTTATTTCGTTACGTCATAAATGACGAACCACTCTGCCGCGTGTCAGAATATAAATACCTGGGTGTTTACGTCACAGATAGCTTGAACTGGAACCGTCATATAGATTATATCTGTCATAAATTGCAAAAAAAAAGCTTTGGATGCTTCGTCGGAGGCTTGGTGACGCGACACCTGAAGTAAAACTTTTAGCATATAAAACCACAGTGTTTCCGTTGCTGCAATGTTCAAGCCCGATATGGAAGCCATATACGCAAAATAATATCGCTAAATGTGAACAGGTTCAAAATAGAGCCCTAAGATTTATTTTTAATTCCTACCGTAAAACGCAGTTCGTAACAAGTCTAAGAACTAGGGCTCATATTCTTACATTGCACGAAAGAATGAATATCAACAGCATGAAATTCTTTTTTCAGATATTCCACGGTATCACAAAACAGAGATAACGAAAATTTTCACTCTAGACACGTTGCATTCGCGGACAAGCACGCCAAACACATTAAACCTCTGAAGCATAACACAAAATCTTTCAATAATTCTTTTAATGTATCCGCTATTGACATATGGAATAAGTTACGGAAGGACGTTGTACTGCGTAACAATGTTAAAGATTTCGAATGTGCGTTACAATTGTTGAACTGAGCTGTGATAAGGCACTCACTTGCTCACCTGTGTTCTGCCGTGTTATGCTAAAGGGTGCGCATTGAATGTTGGATTTTTATTATTTTTTGCATTGTTTTTGCTCTCTTTGTGTCAAATGGTGAGATGTTCCACTTTTGCTCTACTTTTGAAATTTGTGTGCCCAGATGAGCAACTCCTGTTCTGGCATGTATGCTAACAGTATGAATAAATAAATAATAAAATTTTGCCTTCAATGTTCCCAAACCCCAATGCTTTGAAAAATTTGGTGTCCTTATCTTCAACTATAGGGTGGAGCCCTTTACAGAACATTTTCAAATGTTCAGTCGTTTCCTATTCCTCTCCACACGCACTAGATACCATGTCTGTGCCTTCGTATTTTGCTCGGTACGTCTTGGTCCGCAATACTCCTGTTCTAGCCTCGAAGAGCAGAAAACTACCACAATAATTAGAGTAGATTGTTTTCCTTGCTATTTCCTGCTTAATTTTTCCGTAGGGCTCCAGTGATGATTTCGTAAACATTTACATCTTCCAGATGTCCCTCTTTGTTTCCTTCACCTTCTTCTTAACCGCTGTTTCCTCTTCAATTGGTATTCTTCTGTTCTCTAAATACTTGCTTGACAATTTTCTAGTTCGTTTCTTGCATTTCTTATCGCCATTCTTCATGTACAAATAACTGAAAACTTTCCTAGCCCAACGCTCCTCTCCCATTTTTCTCAATCGCTTATCAAATTTTATCTTGTTAGCTTCCTTGCACTCAAACGATGTTCATTCCATGTCTTCCTGTACCACCTAATTTGGGATATTCCCGTGTGCTCCCAAAGCAAGTTTCCCTATGCCACGTTGTTTATTTCCAATCTTGCTTGAACTACTGATTTCATGCACAAGACCGCATTGCCGAACGTCAAAGCCGGGACCATGACACCTTTCCAAGTCTCTCTCACAACATCATACCTATTGTGGTTCTACAGTGTCCTATTTTTAATTACATCAGCATTCCTAATACCTTTAGTCGTCGCATATATTTCGTGTTCCCTTAGGTACTCGGCCCCATTGCTTATCCCTACGCCCAGATATTTGTATTTATCTCCAAGGATACGTCCACGGATTTATATTTATTCACTATATCTAGCGAGACCTCCTGTATCTTATGGTCACTGCCTTTGTTATCAATAAAAATAATGATTGCTGATTTTTCCCTGCTGAACTTCAAATTTAACCTATCTCCCTCATTACCACAGATACTATCAATTTCTTCAGACCATGACCGAGTCAGTAGCACTATCTATGGGTGAATCTGGGAACTTGAGCGTTGCATGCGATTCCAACACCTACCTGTTGCCAGCCCCAACCTTGGAAGAGCTTCGCTAATAAAATGTGTATTAAAAACATAAAGTAGCAGGAACTATGAGCCTTTTTACTTTAAGCGTATGACTTGCAGAATGTCAGCTCGTGGCTCTCAGCGTCGCGGAGTTGGCGTCCGTGAAAAAGTTTCACAATTGGTTTCAATCACTCGCCACGTAATGATGCCAGTGCATTGTCGCATGTAAAACATGTGCAGCTTATTCTACTTTTGAAAAGAGAACTTGTGTCAAGCAACCACGTTCAATAGCGTTTCGTGGCGACCACCTTCCACGTTAGAACCTGCAGGCTGAACTGCTGGCGCAGTCAGTCATGAAGCGTGGAAACTTGGTGAAGTTAGAAGGACATAACTGAATGCAGGAACAGCGCAACCTAGAAGTAGTTACTGCGTAACTACGGTCCTCGTTTTTTCGCTTCCGTAATTACGCAGTAACTACTTCTAGGTTGCGCTGTTCCTACATTCAGTGCAGTCAGTAGTTCAGCCTAAAGACATAGAAACCTGACTGCGAATCATAAATTCATGGTATCAGAAAAAGTCAATAGCGTCACTGCGGTATTTAAGAAAAAATAAAGTAAGCACCAGTGGTGTACTTACTTGTGGAAGTATGTGTTGATGGCCACCATGTTGGAAGGGAAAATCAACCCTTGACCAATAGCTGCAAAAAAGGAAGTGCCAAGTTACCGCGAAAACAGAAGTAAACAAAGTTTCCAAAACAGCGTCAAATGGGTGAATTACATAAAGCTGAGGTCACACTAGTCTAATTTTAGAAGGTTTTTTTTTACATTTAAAGTCTCTGCAAAGCAGCCGAGTTGCATTGCTTAAAAGGACCCTAAAGGCAAATATAACATTGGTATTGATTGTTGAACTAGCAATCCAGAAGCCTCATAGCGCTACTTCAAGTTGTGCGCATCACGTTTGCACCTTTCGAATAACCTGCTTCAAGTGAAACCTTTCACGTCACTGTTGCTGTGCACATCGTTGCCCGGCTGAACTGCTGGCGCAGTCAGTCATGAAGCGTGGAAACTTGGTGAAGTTAGAAGGACATAACTGAATGCAGGAACAGCGCAACCTAGAAGTAGTTACTGCGTAACTACGGTCCTCGTTTTTTCGCTTCCGTAATTACGCAGTAACTACTTCTAGGTTGCGCTGTTCCTACATTCAGTGCAGTCAGTAGTTCAGCCTAAAGACATAGAAACCTGACTGCGAATCGTAAAATCATGGTATCAGAAAAAGTCAATAGCGTCACTGCGGTATTTAAGAAGAAATAAAGTAAGCACCAGTGGTGTACTTACTTGTGGAAGTATGTGTTGATGGCCACCATGTTGGAAGGGAAAATCAACCCTTGACCAATAGCTGCAAAAAAGGAAGTGCCAAGTTACCGCGAAAACAGAAGTAAACAAGTTTCCAAAACAGCGTCAAATGGGGAATTACATAAAGCTGAGGTCACACTAGTCTAAGTTTAGAAAGTTTTTTTTTACATTTAAAGTCTCTGCAAAGCAGCCGAGTTGCATTGCTTAAAAGGACCCTAAAGGCAAATATTACATTTGTATTGATTGTTGAACTAGCAATCCAGAAGCCTCATAGCGCTACTTCAAGTTGTGCGCATCACGTTTGCACCTTTCGAATAACCTGCTTCAAGTGAAACCTTTCACGTCACTGTTGCTGTGCACATCGTTGCCCGGCTTTACTGCGTGGCCACTGGCACAAGTAGCAGCAGAGCGAAAGTAGCGAGAGCCACTAGGACCAACAATGGCGACTTGAACAATTTCCTGTCATGGCCTCCGAGAAGGCCTGTGCGCTTCGTTCAATCTGAGCCCCTGCTAGATGGCACGACCTATCCAGTTTGACTAGGCGAAAATTGATCTTTCAAACCACTCGCGTCATTCCCTATAGTAACGTCCAGCCATTCTTTTTCATGATTCAAAAGAAACGAACAAGCAGCGTTTTATTGCATCTCTTGATGCAAGAAAGAATCTTCAATTCGTGCAGCCAGTTCAATTACTAGTCATTATTTGTAGGCGGTAAGTCTGGTGCCATCGATCATTTTGCGAATGTTCTACTTGCGGCGCATGTGTTCTCGTGCACTTACACTAATTTCTCGGTACGTAAGCACTCTTGTTGATAATATTGTTCTTTTAGACGTTGTCATATATTGAGCTTTCAATCTGACTAAAAATATTATTTGACGGTAGTGTCCCTTGAACTAAAGTACTGGCAGGAACATTTTCAACAGTCGCTTTAACGCCATACCGTCAAAGAGCTCGTTTCACAGACTTTCTGGCGTACGCGTCGCTGGTTCTAGGCCAAAAATCATCTTGTGCGTGACGTAAGAGTCGAGAAAAATGCGAGAAAGATGCGATTATTAAAAATTTCCGGGTTTGAGTGCGGACCGAACTCAGGTCGTTTGCGTGGCCAGCAGATATTCTACCAGGCAGCAACGCGTCTGCTTAGCAACCATATTTTTGTTTGGTTTCCTACAATAAATGGCGCATATCCACTAAGGTGGATTCATCAAGAATGTGACGGTAAGGCGTTTCAATGGTGTTTTAGGTATGCTACGTGATTAAAGTAAATAGAAAAAATGAAACAGCAATCTCACATATTACATTAAATTTGAACCGCAAGTACTATGCTTTTGAGCTTGTATTCGAGAATGCCATATTAACCTGATAGGAACGATGTTGAAGGATTAGTCAAGTTTTACCTTGCCGAAATTGTCACTGATAATCACCTCCTTTCCAAATTTCACTGCATTTTCAAGACGAAGAACTTCTTCTAACTGGCGAAACAGTTAAAATATTTTCTTTTTGGAATGCAGTGAAAATAGCGTTCAGAATTCACAAACACATTCATTGTGTGTATCCATAGTGCTTCACATACATGTATTATCACATCAATATTGTTTATTACAAGCGTACATCGTCATCGCGCGTCGACGCATGTTTTTAATATGACCACCTTGTGGTTCAAAGCCGATCACCAATTAATAAATACTCACAATTTCCTGCACCTATTTCCTTCTACAGTTATACAAGGCATTGTTTGTGGGCTATATACGGTACAGCTCACCTGTACTTTCCAGCATGCGGGCAACGTGTCTTCGTACTTTAGAGAGCTTTCAGGCACGAGCACTGAGAATATGCCTTGGCCTGCCACGGTGCACGTAAACCTCTGGCACTATAGAGGAGTCCCGCACCTACCATATACAGGTTTGCACGTCCTAAAAGCCTTTTCAAGTACACCTTCTTCTGCTGACCCGACATGCACAGCACCCGTTGTCTTCGCTACAAGTGGACTAACCAGGCTGTACCTATTCGCGATGCCTCGATACGCATAGGCACATGATCCCTTCAAGCTTTGCACCTGCCGTAGTCCCTGCAGTGCCTCCATGGATATTGACTAAACCGCTGGTGTGCCTTCACATACGTGGAATTTTGTATAAGTCGCGTGTTTCTTATATTGACCTCAAGCAACTCACCTTGGCACAATTAGATAAGCGATACAGCGACTCCGTGCACATTTACACCGATGGATCCGTAACTTCATCTGCCTCAGCTGCAGCCTTCGTGATCCCTCAACTCGGTATTTCCCGACAGTAAAAATTAGATCATAGGTCATCTTCGACACCTGCAGAACTTGTTGCTATACAAGAAGCCATAAAATTTGTGAACGACCAAGCACCGCGTAAATAAACGATTCTGTCTGATGCAAAATCAGCGCTTCAAGCTATCCATTCTTGCTCAAGAAGAGGCCAATTTTATGAGTTATCGTTAGGAATCGTCCAAGCATTTGATCAAACACACAAGAGCAGTCACTTGATTACACTCCAATGGATTCCTGGACACTGCGGCCTGGTTGGCAACGAAACAGCCGATAGCGAAGCAAGAGCGGCAATGTACAACGCTCCTATGTACGTCAAAGTACCATAATCGCGAAGTGACGTCAGCACATTATTGAGATCACTCATGCGCGAATGCGCTGCCACTTACTGGTCGCTACCAGATTACCAGAACAAGCGCCTGTGGGAAACAGACCCCGGTATGACTTTTCCTCTTCCAGATAAAATGAGCCGAAGGCATGCTAATATACTGCACCGAGTTCGCTTGGGCTTCGCCTTCACTCGCCACTACACCCACCTAATCGGCCGTGCGGACAGACCGAATTGTGAACGCTGCCAAGGGCGCGAAACAATAGCTCACATATTTTGTGACTGTGCATTATACATGGCGCAAAGAAAAATGCTAACTGCAACGTTGGCAAGCATTGGATGAACACCATTAAGTGAAAGCCACATATTGTCAGCAATGAACGACCAAACAGTGTCAAAGACTGCAACAAAGGCTATTTTAGATTTTATAAAAAGCCCTGGACTAGAAACTAGACTGTAGGATACTATGCTAAGTGGCTACTGTACATACGCACCACCTCTTCTTGTCCCCATCATCACCCTTCATCTCTCTTTCCTTCTTCTTTCCCTTATCCCCTCTGTAGAGTAGCAGGCTAGAGCGAACTAGCTCAGGCCGACCTCTCCGCCTTCTAATAAATTCTCACTCTCTCTTTCCCTATGACAACGCAGTGGGGTGCATAGGATAATCAAAAAAACTTCACGCGCCTAATTGCTGGTTGTTTCAAGCATGCTTCTCATTACACAGTAAGAGGCCACTTGCGAAAGCTTCACTGACGCAAGACACTTTCAACGTTATTGATTTCACTGTTGTAATCCGTAATTTGAACCTCATGAGTAGCATAACATATTAAAATGTATGCACCCAGTGGTTCAAGTATACGCACTAGAAACAAGCTATTGCTATCGCGTTCAACTCTTAAAGACGCACGTTAACGGTACTCCCACTTTTGCTCGTATAATTCAGGACAGGCTTCGACGGAACCTTTCAGATACTTATAATGTGTTTTCGCGTACAGTGTGTGGCACCCTTTGTGTTTGGACAATAAGTAATGCATGGAATATAATAAGATGCGTGCCAGAGTCATTGGAAATATTGTCCTCAGATTTAATTTGTAACTTTCATACATTTCTCTGATGCCAATTCAGAGGCGAAAACTCCCGATTTTGGCTACTATAAATAAAAGCCTGCGGATTTTGTTTCAGAAGAATATGGCCATAAGCCTACCTACCCAATGAGCGCTTAACTTCCGACTGCCCGCTATAACGGGTCCCACAGGACCAAATGACCTAAATAACACTATTTCAATCACTCAATCAATCGGACTGATCTCATTTAGCTGAAAGGTCACACAACACGATTTCCGCGAACATAGCAGAGTGCTTGAGTGGAACTGTTTCTACAGCCGTTGAGCCAATTCACTGCCAAAATTTGTTCCTATTCTGGTTATGGTTTTGAACACTAAAACCACAATACGATTATGAGGCAACCCTAAACAAAGGGCTCCGTATATTTGCAAGGTGTTTTGGCGCGCGAACAAAGGAAAAAAGGACAGGGTAGACAGAAAGAGCGCTGACTTCCAACTAACTTTATTTCACAGAGTGGCAAGAATTTATACGTCTAAAGAGGAAGATTACAGAGCATGAAGGTAAAAAACAAGCCTAACCTACCCACCAGTAACAGCACGTCTGACAGGTCCTCTAATGCCTCAAATCCCAGCCAGGTAATCACGTTCAGCCTGTGATAAAGCAACCGATGAAGTGCTTTCGCATTTATCTCCTAGCACGTGTATTTTTTCGGCACGAATAATTTCTCGGGTAAGCTGGTCCCTGTGCCTTGCCAATATAGAGCTCTGATCAGAGAGGGGGGTGCAGCCACAATCTCGGCAATGAATGCCAAGGTGCCCTTGTACCACATTGTGCACATTGTTTCGGTGTTCTCGCAGGCGGTCGTTTATGCACTTGCCGGTTTGGCCGACGTAGACGCACCCACACGTCAGTAGAATCAAGTATACGACTCCACCTGCGCATGGGACGTAGCATGTCCTGTGCGCGACAGAGCACGCGGCAGAATTTGCGCGAGGTGTATTTACCCGTTTGCAAAGCTTCTGCAATTTTTCCGGTGCTGAAAAAACAACAAGAACGTTGGCGTATCGAGCAATCTTTTTTAGCCTGTGTGAGACGTCGTGCACGTACGGTAGTACGACAGGCCGGCTCTTTCTGACGCTGTTGCGCTTATCTGGTTTGTTGCCTCGCTTCACGACAGTGACCAGCTTTTCCGCCACTGAAACGAGAACGTGTGCGGGGTAACCGGCGTTGCTGAGGTGCTCCACTTGTAGAGCAAAGCTGTGGTGTACCATGTGGGGGCAAGACTTCCTTAAAGCGTTGGCAAGGCAGAGGTTAGCAATGCCCCGCTTGACCAATTTAGAGTAAGCTGAGCCGAAAGGCAGAAGTGGCTTGCCGCTTCTGGGTTCATACATCCAGCAAACATATCGGGGTTCTAGCACAAGCTTCAAATCTAGAAATTTCAGGTTGTTATCAGTGGGTGATTCATACGTTATAACTAATGGTTTCAGGCACTCTCGAAAAACAGTCAACACGTCAGAGGAAATGGTCTGAAAATTTTGACTGTCTCATTTCAACAACATTATATAATCAACTCGGTATACTTCGATGAACACGACAGTTTTAACGCCCACCTTAATGTCAGTATAGGTGCCTCAAAGTTTGCCGCCATCGAAATGCGACTGCGGCATGCCGGAATTGAACCCACTATCTTCAGCATAGGAGCCCAACGTTACTTAACGTTGGCAGCACCACAGTAGTCTATAATAAACACGTACCAGTTATGATGCCAATACATATGGTGATACTGATGACGCTGTAGAACAGCCACGCTGAGCAGTATGCCAAACGCTACCAGCAAGCTGCCAGCAACAGACACGGTGCGCAGGGGCAGCTTTTGCAGGAGTACTCCCGTCACGACACCTGTGGCGCATTACAAGAAAGATGAGGCATGGGTGATTCCTCAGTCACAGAAATCGTATGATATAAATCTAAAGTAATACTTGTCCCTACAAAAGTAGTTTAACGTTTCCTGTACATAGATATAAGTGAGCTTGCACAACATGTATTGTGTTTGGTAGCTACATCACCGTCTAACGTGGGTGCACTCACGTTTACGCTTGGTGGCACATCTCCATCTCTACGAATAACGCCCATGAATAATGACTGAAAAAACTACAAGAGGTAGTTGCAAGAGTTAATAGCGGGAGCGCATTTAGAGAAAGAGGCGTGAAAGCTAGAAGGGCGTCGCTGATTAACGTCGAACTTGGGCTAAAGTCACCACCGTGAGGCATGTTCATGACAGGATTAGGGGGAACGCAAAGCACATAGTGCCTCCCCTAAAGTTCGGCCCCACTTCCCGCGGCGAGCTTTTTAGATGCCAAGTATCTCTTGCTCGTGTCTATGTCCCGCGGCGTCAGCATCCGCACTCATACTTATCATCATCAGCCTGACTATGCCCACTACAAGAAAAGGCCAGTCCCATATTCCGCCAGTTAACTTGGTTCTGTGCTTGCTGCTGCCAATTACTACCTGCAAGCTTCCTAATCTCATCTGCCCACCTAACCTTTCTGTCTTTTCTCACCCACTTACCTTCACTGCGAATCCAGTCAGTCACCCTTAATGACCAGTGGTTATCCTGCCTACGCGCTACGTTCCCGGCACACGTCTATTTCTTCTTCTAGATTTAAACCATTAGATGCTTAAGCCCGGTTTGTTCTCTGACCAAAATCTACTCTCATCTCGCTCTCCTGTGTTAATATCTGCCAGTAAAACTGAAACATTGCATCAACGAGTGGCTCAGGAACCACTCACAAAAGATTAACAAGAATGCAGATAAAGGAGCCCATCTTGTGGCTCATATTCATAATAATTCTTGCTGCGATTGTGAGACACGATTTGAAGGGACTTTGATCTTTAGCAGGAGTAACGATGAGAATGCGCTGCTGGCCTTGGAAGCCTACTTTATCAGAAAATGTGCCCATCTTTGCATAAGTGACACGTCTCTGTCCCTGCACGCATCTGAGTTCGGGTTCATGTCACCGCGTACGTAATACACTGGTCGATTTTTCAACGCCGACAACACGTTTGTGTATTTTTGTCGATTGCGTGGCGCATGACAGCAAGGCTGCCTTGGAGGTATATATATGCATTCACAGTTTCCAAAATGAAGTCACTTGATAGTCAGCGCTTGTGTGTGTCGCCTCTTCTTTTGTGGTGTGCCTGCGTTTGCGCTGTAAAAGTACCCCAATGATTATGAACCAACTAGGCCCAATAGAAATTTCACTGTATATGCTCACTCGTTAGAAGAAAGTCGTGCTGCTTGAGTTCGTTTGAAACAAAAAAAGAAACAAACGCTGATCAGTGGGAACAAACGTTTACGGCGTTACGCTTCCAGCATGCATTTTCACAATAAATGATCGGATGCGGAAGGTCAAGGGAGCTCATACAACTGCATGTTGACATACTCCTTACCACTTCTTAGAACCACAAAGCACTTCACGACAAACTGCTAGACCACCACTGGTCTGGGTCAGAACTTTATGGAGTGCCAAAAACCTCCACAAGCCACCCATCCCAATGCGTTGTATTGTCCATTGTACATGATTGTACCGGTCGAAATTTATGCATCGAATTCTGGTTCAGCTCGTTGGTGAGTGCACACTCACATGCGCAATTCAGTCGACTTGAACGAAAAGACACGCAGAATTTTGACCAAAGATGGCTATTTATTATGTGACCTCAAGTCCCTGTTCACAGGCGTTTCAATAGATTCGGCTGGCACCGTATCCAAAATTGCTCTCGAGGCTAACATAGCGTTCGCCCACTGATCCTCGATATATGCACCTGACCAGCGCGGGTCTCTGGATTTTTAATACTTCAAACAGGGAAGTATAGTTAACAGCCATTCATGTGAGTACGACTGCTCCTTATAACAAAATGACTTCAGTGGGATGCACAAGCATGGACACGATGTAACTACAGCACTGCAATACTATCGCAGATCACACATCACTTAAGGAAACAAAGTGAAAAGGGTGTACAAAAGCTCACCAAGCTTGAACAGAATTACACATTAATTGTGAAGCAAAGAAACATTGTGTTTTGTTTTGAAAAAAATAGATAACAATTTAGAGTACTTGGTATTCTGCCATGGGAGAGCTGAAGGCCACCCAGTTGGCCTCATACTTGATGAAGCTATATTGACAAAACATTGGGCTCATGGGAGGCTGGTTGCATATTGTTTTTAGAAAAATTTATTGTCACAGATGCCAATAACATTTCAAAATAAAAGTGTTTTGTTAGGCATACTAAATGATGATACCAAAAACAAACTTCGTTTAGATTGACATGGGTATCATATAAATAGAGAAGTTTATTGCATTTTAGTAAGAGCACTTCATGTGGCGTAGAGCTGCCTGATGTAGGAGAATTACTTCAGTAGCACGTACAAAAAATAAAACACAGACACGATTCAACTTATAGCACTGCAATACTTTCACAGATGACGAGTCACTGAAGGAAAAAAAGAGAACGCAAACACAAGAAGCACCAAGTTCGAACAGGATCACACATTATCCGTGACGAAAAGGAAGATTTTTTTGTCCTTATCAGTGAGTTTCAAAACGGCAGTGAAGGGAATTCAATATTACCATTCTGTCGCTCCAAAATAAAAAAAACGTGTGTACCACCTTCAGATGAAAACTTCTTCACCCTGCGTTTGTATATGTTCGGTAAAGCACCGAACCATGATCCTTGTTATCTTCTGTTACGCTGGGTATGCAGCTCATTGGGGTCGTCGGTGTGGTTCGGCTATACAGCACCGACACCATGAAATGAACATCGTGACGTAAAGTACGAGTAGTTCACACAAGCCTCTTCTGCGCTGTCCGCTCGAAGGAACTGACACTCTGAATTAACGAGCGATGACGTGCCACACACCTTGACCCTACCGTTCAAACATCCGTATGGCGGAATTGTTCCTCTTTTGCCGCAGTTGGGGCAGTAATTACGTAAGAACGACGCCCCACTCTGGCAGTCTCTGACGAGTGGGGAACGCGTGCCACCAGCCACAGCCAATCCAATCCTCTAACGGCTTCCGGTACGTGGTTTATCCGCCATTACTTCAATGGCTGGGCCTCTATCTCTGTCCTTTCTCCTCAGTAATGGAGCCACTGATCAACATTTCGCTATTAAGTGCCGGTGCAAGCGTTGTAAAATATTCTTCGGTGGCGTCACCGTCCAGCGAAAGCGATGTTCCGTACAGGAAATTTCCTCTTTTTCGGGGATTCTAAGGCGCGATTATTAATAAAGAATAGAAGGGATTTTTTTCAACATGGCAGGAACTTTCGGAAATTGTCAGATTCATCCGTGAGGACAATGGATCACTTGGGCATGCTCTAAAAAGAGAATATCTCAATGACATACCGCGTCAGTTTCGCCACGCACTGTTATGCTGGGATGCCACTGCATCTGGCCACTAGACCTTTGGGCAGCTTCCTCCAAAGCAAGTGCCCGACGGCAGGCCCGGTGCCAGGCAGTGCGTGCCGCAGGGCAACTATATCTAAAGCAGCTACATGAGGTCAGCGACAAAGACCTTGCGACGCGGTAAACGTTTTGACCAAACACATGCTCATTTGCGTAACCATGAATGAGTCACCAGAACTTCGTGGACGTCCGGCAGTGGCGCTCCTTACAACATTCTACGATAACGAGCTTCCTGGATGTAGAACATGCACAATCTACTTGAAATAGTGCAGCAGTGTAACGTGATATGAATTCGCATTTTGATACGAACCATCCTTCTTGAAGTTGAAAATATATGAGGTGACGTGCCTGTATTGTGCTCTAACTTAGCTTAGAAGTTTCACAAGCACTTGCAACTCAAAATCAGGCGATTCATTTCAATTATCTGTGCCACCCACTGAACAATGCTCTGGGACATGGAATCAGGACTCGCTATTTTAAGGCAGTTCACGTCTCCGTAGTGTCTTTTCTTGCCATATGAAAATCGGTCGCGTAAGCTGCACCGTCAGCTTGGTCTTGCGTGCTTGGCCATGGGTATGACCATCAAGTCACTGAAAACCGTATGTCTATCGAGGTGGTTTATTTTCATGACCCCACCACCGCGGTCTAGTAGCTAAGGTACTCGGCTGCTGACCCGTAGGTCACGGCATTCAGACCCCGGCTGCGGCGGCTGTATTTTTTCGTTGAGGCGAAAATTCTGTAGGCCCGTGTGCTCAGATTTGAGTCGACGTTAAAGAACACCAGGTGGTCTACATTTCCAGAGCCCTCCACTACGGTGTCTCTCAAAATCATATGGTGGTTTTGGGACGTCTAATTCCACATATTATTATCTTTTAATGAAGCTCTAGGAGATATGTTACACTCTGGCATGTCCATTTTGTCTTTCTTGAGAAGATACAAAGCCACGGGGGCCAAGTAGGAGAATCTTATTAGTCTTGTTTCATCGCCTGAAGCTGTGCACGACTCACTTGTTAAGAAAAATTTCCTGAAGTCCAATGCCTGTGCCGTGATCTCAGTCATTAAGGAACCTGAGGCAGAGAGTATACCCTTGAATTCAAAGTTTATCGTTTTCAGGCACCCCTCAGTACAATGACAGGATCGAACCGAGGCCTTCGCATCAGGTGTCAAAAGTCTGTTGGACCTCCTTCAGAGGAATGAACGCTGAACGACTGTCGCAGACGACTGTAATAGCAGGAGCTGAGAACGACAACAATACCACAAGAAGACGAGCGCAACAGGGAAAAAGAGTGTGAAAGGATCGCTATTCTTCCGTAAAAACAACGGATGCCTAACAGGCTCAAGGAAAGTGGAAAATTTGCGGGCGTTGGCGTGCTGTTTTCTGCACTGCTCAAATTGTCTTAACAAATTGACAAACCCACTAGAAACTGCACTGAATG